ATTGATCGTTTTTCTAATGTTGAACCATCCTTGCATCCCTGATATGAATCCCACTTGATCATGATGTATTATCTTTTTGATGTGTTGCTGGATTCTGTTGGCTACAATTTTGTTGAGGATTTTTGCATCTATGTTCATAAGGGATATTGGTTTATAATTTTCTTTTTTAGTGATGTCCTTCCCTGGTTTTGGTATGAGGGTTATGCTTGCTTCATAACATGTATTAGGAAGTTTTCCATCCTCTTCTATCTTCTGAAATAATTTGAGTAGAATTGGTGACAGCGCTTCCCTGAAAGTTTGGGAGAATTCACCAGTGAAGCCGTCTGGGCCTGGAATTTTTTTGATTGGGAGTCTTTTGATGACCTGATCAATTTCTTCTTTTGTTATGGGTCTGTTCAGGTTTTCTACTGCACTGTGTATAAGTTTAGGTAGGTCGTGTTTATCTAAAAATGTATCCATCTCTTCTAAGTTTTCTAATACAACTCTTCGTAGTATTCTGTTATTTTCCCTTTGATTTCCTTTTGTTCCGTTGTGACATCATCCATGTGGTTTCTAATACATGTTGTTTGTGTCTTCTCCTTCTTTTCTTTTGTTAGGTTTGCCAATGGTCTGTCGATTTTGTTAATTCTTTCAAAGAACCAGCTTCTTGTCCTGATGATTGTTTATATAGTTTTTTTGTTTTCTATCTCATTTATTTCTGCTCTAATCTTTATTATTTCTTTTCTTTTGGTGGCTGTGGTTTCCTTCTGTTGGTCTGTTTCTAATTGTTTTAGATGCTGTGTTAATGTGTTAATTTTAGTTCTTTCTTCTTTTTGGATGTGTGCGAAATTTAACAACCTTTTAACATCTCTTCAAATGATCTCATGAGGAGATGATACCATCATATAATAGATAAGAAAATTGGAGCTCAAAGAGATTAAATAGGTGACCCAAAGACACACAGCTAGTAAGTTAACGCTAGGTTTGAACCCAATTCTTTGACTCTTATCAGCGTGCCATCTACCATATTGCCTTTATTTGAGATTCTCCAAGCTTAGTGTGGACACGTTCTGATATTTGCATCTACTTAAGAACATAGCCAGTTAACCAGTTGTCACAGAGCCAGTTCCAACTCATGATGACCCCAGGTATGTCAGAGTAGAACTGTGTTCCACAGGCTTTTCAGTGGCTGACTGCTTGGCAGCAGGTTGCCAGGACTTTCCTTTGAGTTATTTGTGGTTAAACTTGAACCTCCTACACCTTTCTGTTAGCAGCTGAGTATATTAACTGTTTCTACCACAGGGACACTTAAGTAGATTGTTATTGTTGTTAAGTGCCATTGAGTTGGTTCCGACTCATAACGACCCTATGTAGGGTTTCTGAGGAGCGACTGGTGAGAGCTCTTTATATATTTGTATTTGCAAATGAAAATTTAGGAGCAGTTATAAAGCTTTATCAAATACTTTGCCTTCATGGCTCCACACTGATTAATCCCTGTTTGAAGACGTTACTGCTAAATTTCCTCTTGGGCTGTTTTCTGATCAGAGTACTTAAAGAGATATGTTAAGTCTGACAAATCAATTCTTAATAGTAAGAGATCAATTGCAGATACTGTAGTATCTGAGTATACTGAGTTAATTCATCTTTTAAACCCACTTGATGTAAAGTGTCATTGAGTCGGTTTTGACTCATTGCGATTGTGTATACCGTTTCCAAGGAGCAGCTGGTGGGTTTTGAATTACCAATCTCAGATTAGCAGTCCAGTGCTTGTACTACAGCATCATACCAGGACCCACAAGAGAAGCTTTATTATTTAAAAAATACTGTGAATCTTTTAATAAGAAAGAATACCCCCCAGTTTACATCTTGTGCAAATCTTTTTTATCATTTATCTCTGTAGCTGAAAGTAAAGTTTACTTATATGAGGATAGTATCCAAGAGGGTTACAGGATTTGCACAGGACAGGAGAACTACAGGTCATCTGGCTGTGCTAAGATCTGAGTAGATAAATGTTTAGTACATTTTGGTTTGTTTATTAAAGTGTAGTAGTCCTCTTGGGATCTTTCTAATATCCACCTTTTGTTTGATGCTAGATTGAGCGGCTGGAAGTAAGCAACCTTGCCCAGACTTCTAGTGCAGTGGCCTCTAGCACCGATGGCAGCATCCACACAGACTCCGTGGATGGAACACCAGACCCTCAGCGCACAAAGGCTGCTATTGCTCATTTGCAGCAGAAGATCTTGAAGCTCACAGAACAGATCAAGATTGCCCAAACAGCCCGGGATGACAATGTTGCTGAGTATTTGAAACTTGCCAACAGCGCAGACAAACAGCAGGCTGCCCGCATCAAGCAGGTCTTTGAGAAGAAGAATCAAAAATCTGCCCAAACCATCCTCCAGCTACAAAAGAAACTCGAGCATTACCA